AGGGTCATTGTCGCGTCTGCCGGCCCGCCGCGTGGCACAGCTGTGCCCGACCGGCACAGCCTCGCCGACAGCACAAGCTTCCCCGCATCCTCCGGCCGTCGCGCCCGGATCCAAAATGGCGCTGACCGCGACGTCAACGCGCACGCATGTTTTGGGGTCAGAGGTCGCCCTCTGACCAATCAGACCTTAGAGAGGGATATTTAAATCCCTAGCTCACCCCAGTCTCTTGCCCTGTCGTGGTTTCCTGTTCCTGGTTTCCTGAGAGTGCTTTATCTTTGTGAATCTGATTCCCTGGTATCCTGATCTTGGCTTTTCCCTGGTTATTCTGAATTCTGGTTTCCCTGACTTGGCTTGTGTAAATGGTATTGTGTATTTTCTGGCTTCCTTGACCTCGTCTTTCCCTTTGACCATTCTCTGTCTCTAGCGTATTAGTCCGGCCATTCTAAGGTCCGGTTTACGCTCTGTCCTTTTATTTTCCTTTTCTTGCCTATGTATATGTTTACATAGTTTCTGCATGCTGGACCACACTAGTAGTCGTGACATTACGACAGGGCCATGGATCCTGCAGAACTATGTAAACATATGATAGCCTGTGAGAATAGGGTGGAGGATATGGACCACAGGTAAGATCAATTTGCCCAGGCATTTCAGACCTTGCTCCAGAGAACTGCCTATTTAGAGGCACCTCCTGTACCATCTGTGGTTCCGCCACCTGTAGTGGCTCCCGTGCCACATAAACCACTGTCCATAACCCTTTCACCTCCCCCTCATTATGGAGGTGATTCGAAAGAATTTAGAGGTTTTTTAAACCAAATTGAGTACCACTTCCCCCGGTTCATTCCCTACTGATAGATTGAAAATTGGCTATCTGATGATCCAATTAACAGGAAAGGCTTTAACCTGGGCTAATCCCTTATGGGAGAGTGGAGACACCGTAGCCCGTGATTACAGTGTCTTCCTAACAGAATTTAAGGCTACTTTTGAACCTAAAGGCAGAGAAAAGAACTCTTCCAAAGCCCTAATGGGAATAAAACAAGGCAGTCGCTCTGTAGCTGATTACGCCATAGAGTTCAGAACATTGGCGTCCGAGGTTGACTGGACCAATAGTGGTTTGGTGGCTGCTTTCTCAGAAGGTTTAGCTGAGAGTATACAGGACGAGACCGCAGCTAGAGACCTTCCGGTTAACCTCAATGACTTTATTACTGATATGATAGATATCGATAACAGACTCAGAGAAAGAGAGAAAAACAAACAACGAAATAGACGTCCTAACTTGTCCATAGCCCCTCGTTTCTCTAACCCAGTGGTGGTTAGCCAAGCTCCACCTCCAGAACCTAAACCCATTCAATTGGGTATTACTAAACTCACTAAGGCAGAGATGCAACACAGACGTAATGAAGGGTTGTGTATGTATTGCGGCAAGAAGGACATCAAAGATTTTCATGTCCAGTTCGGCCGGAAAACATGCGCACCTAAGGCACGTACGGGGACCTACCTTAGGTGTGATGTATATGTCCCCTAAATTGACTAAAAACCGTTTCCTTGTCAGAGTTACCTTATCTTTTAAGAAGACCGCCGTACAGTGTGAGGCTATAATTGACTCTGGGGAAGCAGAGAATTTCCTAGACAAAGAATTCTCTGCAAAGTTCCTCCTGCCCTTAAGACAGAAAGAGAGACGAATAGCAGTAGAGGCTATTGATGGAAGGCCTCTTACCCAGCCTCTCATCACACACGAAACTCTGCCAATCACTGTCTCAGTGGGTATTCTTCAGTCTGAAGAGATGGTTTTTCAAATCATATCTTCACCCACATGTCTGATAATACTCGGTTTCCCTTGGCTCCAGAAACACAATCCATGTTTAGATTGGGTTAAAGGAGAGATTGTGAGTTGGGGAGAGAGATGCAGAAGTGTTTGCTTAAAGCAGATGCCACAACCAATTGGTACCATCAATGTTCCCATTGCACCTCCCCTGACCACACAAATACCACCGCAGTATTTGGACTTAAAGGAGGTGTTCAACAAGGCCCAGTCGGAGGGGTTACCACCACATAGACCCTATGACTGTGCCATAAATGTATTACCAGGTACTATGCCTCCAAAGGGAGGAGTGTATGCTCTATCCCCTCAAGAAAACCTTTGTTTAGAGGAGTATATAAAGGATGCTCTCAGAAAGGGCCATATCCGTAGGTCCTCTTCACCCGCCATGGCTGGGTTCTTCTTCGTCTCTAAAAAAGGAGACCTACGCCCCTGTATAGACTATAGCGGTTTGAATAAGATTACGATAAAAAACGCCTATCCTATTCCCCTTATATCAGAGTTATTCGACAGGTTGAAAGGAGCTCGAGTCTTCAGTAAGCTCGATCTCAGAAGTGCGTACAACTTAGTCAGGATTAAGGACGGTCACGAGTGGATGACCGCATTTAATACTAGAATGGGACATTACGAATACCTGGTTATGCCGTTTGGATTATGCAAAGCTCCAGCGGTATTCCAGGATTTTATTAACGATGTCCTAAGAGAGTACCTTCACATGTTCGTTTTAGTGTACCTAGACGACATTCTCATCTATTCCCCAGACCTAGAGACACATCACGAACATGTGAGAATAGTACTCAAAACCCTGTTAAAGAATGGTCTCTACTGTAAGCTGGAGAAATGCCAGTTTGACCAAACGGAGATACAATTTCTTGGATATGTTATATTTCCGTCCGGTTTCAAGATGGACCCCCGCAAACTGGAAGCAGTCTTACAGTGGCCGTTGCCCAAGGGCCTTAAAGCTACACAACGCTTTATAGGTTTTGCGAATTACTACCGCAAATTTATTAAAGGGTTTTTTTCTGTAATTTCTTCTATAACCAACCTAACCAAAAAAGGAGCAAATCATGGCCCAAAGAAGCAAGAGAGGCATTTGAACAGTTAAAATCTTTATTTTCCTCAGCACCTGTCCTGACCCATCTTGATCCAACCAAGCCATTTATTCTAGAAGTGGATGCGTCAGAAACAGGAGTAGGAGCCATTCTGTCTCAGAGAGAAAGTCCTGATGTGCCTTTACATCCCTGTGGATTTTTCTCTTGCAAACTCACACCTGCAGAGAAAAATTATGACATAAGGAATAGGGAACTTTTGGCCATTGTACTTGCCCTTAAGGAATGGAGGCTGTGACAGATCCCTCTGTCTTAGACTAAAATAACCGTATGGCTTGTTCGTTTATTTAATTCGTTTTTTTCTCACTCCTGTGGACTCTATGGCATTCCCCTGTTTATAACCGAACAAAACTACCGAACGGCCGGCCACCCAGTAGAGGAGTGTGCTGCTGATTAACCTCTTGGCCCCATTCGAACGTTGAGGATTAACCGCAGACACCTCGTAATTGATACAGCAGTTGGGTGGCCGCCATTCGAATGTCGAACACGAGGTCGCGGCCATTTTAAAACACACGAACGCACAGCGGTGTTCGACGCCTAACTCATGGAACTAAAAACGGACACATTTTGGCACGAACACCGCTGAAGCCACCGATCTCCCTTCTTGTTTGGTAGATTGGCATGAATGACTCTATATTCGGTGGATTTAAACAGAATACACCGTACCCCAGATAGGAATCCTGTGGAGCCCATTCGAATTAAACTGACTGTGTGAACACTTTGGCTCCACAGCGATTGGACTGTGTGTATAGGATCTGAGCGCTATTCTGTACTTTGGTGCGCTCAGATCCCAGCTATCTGGGACCTGTGGAATGCCTACAAAAGCGTGTAAAATGTAACAGTTATATAATTTTATGTATTTTTATGTACTTTTGTTATTAGTCCTTAAAATGGCGTTTAGGCTCTGTCCGGGGAGCTTTCCCCTCAAGCCGAGTCCTTCCCACCCGGTGTGTGGTCTTCGAGTGGGGGGTACTGTCGCGGCTGCCGGCCCACCGCGTGGTATAGTTGTGCCTGACCGGCACAGCCTCGCTGACAGCACAAGCTTACCTGCTCGCCGACAGCCACTTTCCTGCATACTCCGGCCATCGCGCCCGGATCCAAAATAGTGCTGACCGCGTGGTCGCGCCTAAACATAGCTTGGTGTAGTCGCAGGAGAGCCGTGAATGGGCCAATGGATCTCCTCCATGCCAGTGTCCCGCCCGAGAGGTCTGGGTAGAAGGAGAAGGTCATTGTCGCGTCTGCCGGCCCGCCGACCGGCACAGCCTCGCCGACAGCACGAGCTTCCCTGCATCCTCCGGCCGTCGTGCCCGGATCCAAAATGGCGCTGACCGCGATTGTCGCGCCTAAACATAGCTCCGCCCCCGAAGTTTATACTGACGTGCGCGTGACGTCACGACGTCAACGCGCACGCACGTTTTGGGGTAAGAGGTCGCCCTCTGACCAATCAGACCTTAGAGAGGGATATTTAAATCCCTAGCTCACCCCAGTCTCTTGCCCTGTTGTGGTTTCCTGTTCCTGGTTTCCTGAGAGTGCTTTATCTTTGTGAATCTGATTCCCTGGTGATCTTGGCTTTTCCCTGGTTGTTCTGAATTCTGGTTTCCATGACTTGGCTTGTGTAAACGGTATTGTGTATTTTCTGGCTTCCTTGATCTCGGCTTTCCCTTTGACCATTCTCTGTCTCTAGCGTATTAGTCCGGCCATTCTAAGGTCCGGTTTACGCTCTGTCCTTTTATTTTCCTTTTCTTGCCTATGTATATGTTTACATAGTTTCTGCGTGCTGGACCACACTAGTAGTCGTGACAGTCATCCCTTCAAAGAGGTATGTTGTCTGGCCTTTGGTGGCCTTCAGGACTGCCTTTTTGTCCCTGGAGGACTGGAACTGGAATATTAGATCCCCTGGGGCGGCGGGTGGAACCTTTGCCGGTCGCGGTATGCGAAACAGTCCATCTAGGACAATTTATTTTGCTGCATTTGGGGTTAACAGCTCTGTGAGGAGTCTCCTGGCGAAGTGTGGGAGCTCAGCCTCTGGGATGGAGTCAGCGACTCCCCTGAGTTTCAGGTTTTTTCGGCGGTACTTGTCTTCTTGGGAGGCAAGTTGTTGCTCATGAAGCCAGGATTTTTGCTGTAGATCTGCTTGAAGTTCCGCAATCTGGTTTGCGTGGCCATTGGAGGTGCCTTCCACTGCTCCCAGCCTGACTGTTATATTTTTAAGATCATCTCTTAGCAAGGCCAAATTGGCCGCGATTTTCCTGTGGTGGTCCGCCATGAGCTCTCCGATGGCCTCCATAGTCACAAGGGTGGGAGCCTTCGCGGGTGGTGGGGCCCGTGCTGGCGGTGGCAGCGTTAGGGCCGGTGTAAGGTTCCCCTCTTCTTTGTCAGACGACCCGTCTGAAAAATCTGAGCAGCCTCCGTGCAGGGACGCCAGCTTGGCTCCTGCTGCATCATGCGCCTGCCGCCATAACTCCCCTATATCAATGCTCTGATGGGGTTTGCGGGCTTCACCTTTTTGTTTTTGTGATCCATTTGGTCCGTGGGGTTCTCAGGGTCGCTTTGGGACAAATTTAGCTTGGGTTCGGGTATTGGTAGCAGTATTTTGTCGGCTCGCTGATCCACAGAGCTCCATGGCCTTGCGACCATCCGCTTCAAACACTAAGCTCCGCTTCTTTTTCTCAACCTCTTAACGAGCCAATAGGTGACTCAAATATAGCAGAAGTTTTTATATGAAGAAGATCCAGCTCCACAATAAATTATACTGCCACTTCCACTGGCAGTGCAGCTTCTTCTAACACAGCTAGTTCAAGCATTACAGTTTCTGTGTAATATGGTGGTCGAAGCAAGGGATCAGTGAAACCAGTGGATTCATTGCCATTGCCAGGGTTACCCCCCATTTCGTGTAGGCCCCCAAAGACCCAAGAAGCAACTAAGGGAGAACTCAGCAGAGATTTTGTTGGTGCCAACAGAGACAACCTTTACTGAAGAGGTAGAGCAGAGCACTGAACTATCCTCAATGGTGGTGATGTACCTAGTGATTATATTGCACATTTCCCCACCAATGGAGACACTTGTTTAAGTCTATACCTAAAGGAACTTCACTATGAACCAGATGAATTACAAGAGAAAAGTCCAGAGAAGAGAGGCACCAGTCCACTATTTTCTGCACCTTCTGTGTACTTGTCTGCTGGATCTTTAAGTATCTAAGTCCATCTCTCACCAGTGCCAGGTAAGAAGCAGAAAAGAAAAGGTACTAGGGCAGGCAGCGATTACAGAATCGTATCGACAGAAAACACTAAAACAGTTATACCTCCCAAGCGTCATGTATCTGGTGGAGGTGGTGCTGGAGGGAAACTCAGAGGATATAGCTATCACAAAACAGAAGCGTGACTGCACGAGGATTAAAGATGGACAGCCTGGCATGAATGCACGTCAGGCTCCCTGCCAATCATACTGTGCAGACATCATCCTGAGCTTGGCATAAATGTGTCTAATGATGCGCTAGCTCTATGCTTTCTAAGGACTGTCCCCTAGCACTTGCTGGTCCATTCCTCTACTAATCTTCTTACTAGCAGGCAGAAGCTTTTGTTGTGCAGTCTAGGAGCAAGTAGTGCGCAAACCCAGCTTTAACTCAACTAATTTCATTGTCAGACAGTCCACACCAGTTTTGTTCCCTTACATCCCTCTTAAGTTTCCATACTTAACCAAGAGCATGTGAAGAGTAGACAACAGAAATTCCATAGGCACGTGCCTGGAGCTGCAGCTCCATCAGCCCTAAGTTAATCTGGCCCTGGGTACAATAACCATGCTATAGTGCCTCTGGTGTTTGAATTATGTAGTAAATGCGCCATGGAGTTGTTTTGCATTGAAAGAACATGATAGATAAATAAATATTTTCCTTTAATTTAATTTATTTATTTATAGTGAAGGAAAAAAAAAAACTTTTTATAGAAAAGGAAAAAAATCTTCATGAACAGTTTTAATCACTCAATTTTGATTTGTAGCAAATTAAAGTCTGGAGGCTCTTACAAACAAATGCGTGTACAGGTACAATTGGCTCAGTCACCCAGGGAAGCTTTCTATTACCAAGGGTATTGGCCTCTTCTCTGTCTCTAGGACTGTGGTATTCAGGAAGACTTTATGCAGCCAGGATATCCATTATCAGCACTCTCTTGTAAATTGCATTATTAGCAATCTTTTGTAAAGTGCATTATTGCATTATCAGCACTCTTTAGTAACATGCATCATTGCATTATCAGCACTCTTTTTGTAAATGCATTGTCAGCGCTTTTTTGTAAATTGCAATGTTGCATGTATAAACTTTCCTAAATGCTCACCACAGAAACCTCCTAAATATCACCTATTTGTTAGACAGAACATGCCATTCATCACCGCCAGTGGGGGAAGGTTTTAAAGAAACCCACGGCATACCCAGTTAGTCACCTTATGGAAGTGCTGTTTTTTGGGTCGTCAGGGATAAGAGGCTGAACCCTGGTTTGACCTCATGTATGCAGTGGACCACTGTCATCCCATGAAGGAGAGAGTTGGGTTAGAGCCCCGTTCACTAAAGGGGGTACCCAGGTTGGCGGCTCAGAGAGGTGGGTCTTCAGGGATAATAGGCTGAAACCTGGCATGCATGCAATGGACTGCTTTCATCCCCTGAGGGAGCGATTGGATCTGACCCGCGATCACAAAAGGGGGCACCCAGGCTGGCGACTCATAGAGATTGGTCTTCAGGGATAAGAGGCTGAACCCTCGCTGGGCCTCAGGTACACCGTGGACTGCATTCATACCCTGAGGGAGAGAGTTAGGTCAGACCCCCAGTCACTAAAAGGGTTACCCAGGTTAGCGACTCATAGACATATGCTGTTGCTGGGTCTTCAGGGATAAGAGGCTGAACTCTGGCATGTATGCAATGGACTGTTTTCATCCCCTGAGGGAGTGATTGGGTGTGACCCCCAGTCATGAAAGGAGGTACCCAGGCTAGCGACTCATAGAAATGTGATGTTGCTGGGTCTTCAGGGATAAAAGGCTGAACCCTGGCATTTATAGAGTAAACCGCTTTCATCCCCTGAGTGAAAGAGTGGGTCTGACCCCTGGTCACTAAAGGGGGTACCCAGGCTGGTGACTCATAGAAATGTGCTGTTGCTGGGTCTTCAGGGCTTAGAGGCTGAATCCTGGCAGGGACACAAAAATACTGGCCTGGTGAGCATAGAAGAAAAATCTAGGCCTGCATTAGCAGACTCCTTTCAAACTGCTGTGAAAGACAGGAAAAAAAGACTGCCTGTTGGGGAGGGGGATCAATATATTTATACCAATTTCAGAGTTCTATTTCATGTCCTTTCTGCTGTCAGGGGAGGAGCTAACCCATGAGTAAATGCTGCCATGTTTGATCATAAAAACATATATAGTGCAAAACTGTGGTTTAAAATGTGATGAGATGTGGTCAGAATGGACTTCTTATTATAAATCATAATATGCTTTTTCCCTACTATTGGGACATGGCACTATAAATGTGACTGCATATTTACAGATGCATGAGGATAATATATATTTAGTGTCAGTTATATATGGCAATTCGAAAACAAAGAAGTACACAGTGATAAAAAATGTGATAGCTCTTTAAACACCTATAAAGTGGTACCCCTTACACCACTATAAAAACAAATACAATACATACGAAGTAATAGGTGGAGCTGTGTAATGTCCTATATCTGTAAGACAGAATAAATGCAAATAGCGTAGAGAGTCTGCACAAATAATAATAGAAGTAGAAATAAAATCGTTGAACTCACAAGGTTGGAGTCATACCATCATATGACTCTAGCGGTATGTTCCTTTGGACCATTAGGGGGTTGTCCAGACCCTTCTATCGTTGGTTACTGGATACTCCTCTTTAGTGGTCCTTTTTATGTCCCCCAAGGAATTCTCAGTATGTTGCTTATTCTTAAAATAGGTATTTCTTTATTTCCAATATAAAATGTTAACAAAAATTAACAGTAAACAAAAATACTATACCAATAAATATTGGATATAGATAAAGTAGGTTAGAGTGTCCAAAACGCGTTTCGCCTGATGTACAGGCTTCCTCAGTTGGCTCTGTGTTGTTTCCTTTCTATTAAAAGAATTTCCAGCTGATTTTGCCGCTTTTATGTGATACTTCCGGGTTTCGGCTTCTTGGAACGCAACGTGCGTTCCGGCGTCGGTATTTGCTTCCGGGTTCCGGCCGCCGGAACGCAATGTGCGTTCCATAACTGTCTCTCATTTCAACATTACGTTGAGATGGAACGCACATGCGTTCGGATTAGTCAGCTGTTGATTTCATCTGTCGGAGCTTCTCTGTCCAGCAGAGCTATAGAGCATCCTTCTTTTGCACTTCATAAAAATAACAAATCATGTATGGGAATTATATATATAAACATAAAGAGGGTTATATATATCAAATCTTTCAGTTTTATCAAACATACCTATGTATACCTTGTGAAGAAAAAACATATATAAAAAATATATCATAAATAATACCAATAATATTTGTATTGATAATATTTAATGAAAAAATGAATGGTATTATACTTAAACTAATAAAGAATGGGCTATTAAATCCAATAAGCTATAATATAAAAAATGATAAAGGGCTAATCTCTTAGTGAAAATACCAAAGGTCTATAAGATCACAATGTGCTTCTAATAAGATAGGTAAGAAATAAAAAATATATAAAATTATTTTATAATAAAAACTGTGAACAATACTAAAAAAAATTTTTTGTAAAAATTTCAAATTTAATGCATAAAATGGCATAGTTCAAAATCATTATTAAGTCCATATGGAATCATAGTATTAAAATTAAATATGAATTTCATTTCTTCCTTGCCTATTTTATTAACATAATCCCCACCTCTCCAGTCTTTCTTTACTAATTTCAGCGCACAAAAGAACATCCCTTCAGGGTTTTGTTGATGAACTTGTTTAAAATGGTGTGAGACACTGTGCGTTTCTACTCCATTTTTAATATTTCGTATATGTTCTGCTATTCTTATATTTAGTTTTCGAATCGTACGCCCTACATATAGTAGATTGCATGGGCATTTTAGGATGTAGATAACTCCCTTTGAATGGCATGTTAAGTGATCTTTTATTTTAAATTTTTTATTAATAACTGGTTCTAAGTCTATAAGATGCCTTTTCTTACTTATAGTGTTTTTACATGCTAAACATTGTCCACATCCATAAAAGCCATTGCTCATATTGAAAAAAGAAGAAGAAGAGTGTCTTAT